GATTCCGAGCTCAAGGATGATTCCAAGCTCATCAGGGGTGTTTATGTTGTGGACACACACATTCAGAGAGCTACGGAATTACAGCTTGGAAATTCTTTTCAGGCCTGGATTTCTCCTGACTCTCAGGCCCATTCCCAGGCTGACAAGCTGACTGCAGCTTCAGTTAGGGAGGAGTCTCCCAGGGTGATAACGTGGTGAAAAACAGAGTGGAATTCATAATAAAGATTAACACCTGGTGTCTTTCCCGTGGGACACATCCTGAGGTGCTGTCCCAGGGATGTTTTTCCCAATTGTCCAATGAGCTCCTGTCCTGTCCTGGCTGCACTAACACACTTTAAATACAAACTGTCTGTACAATAAATTGGCCTTTTTTTCCCAAAGAGGTCCGTGTGTGTTGCTCTCTTTTCTCTCTGCAGTGCAGTAACCACACTATGTAGCTGTGGAAAGGGGTTTTAACCCTTTAAGTGTGGCAGAAATAAGATGCACAGCTACATGGTCGTCTTTCATGACAGGAAGAAAGAGCCAAGTTTATTCAGAAACACACTTGGTTTTATAGCATGACTGCAACTCCAAGAGCAGAGAAAAGGTGATTGGTTCAGAGAGAAGACACCCCATGGCCAGGGCCTGGGCACACACCACAACAGGTGTTCTATCTTGTTATTAATTCCTTTTTATTTTGACCAAATGATCACCCTGGGAGAAATTCTCCCTAGCCTTGAGCTGGACCAGCTTATCAGCTGGGAACAGAGCTGAAAAGCTCCAGCCTGGAATATTTTTCAGGCTCTAATTTTCTTACTTTCTCAATTTTCTTACTTTCCCACAACTCTAGACATTGGGAAGCATTTAGTGAGAGGATAATAAACCCTGGAACAGGCTTTCCTATTCTCCTTTCCTCTTCCAAGACACTCAGCATGGTTCTATCACCAGAAATTTCAATACTCTATTTGCTTTGCCATTCCCTGGAATTCTTAAGGCCCACTTCTGTTCCAAGGTCCTGAGTGGCAAGAACAAATTCTGTGCTTTTACACCCCTAAACATTTGGCATGGTCTCCCTTTAGACTTTGTCTTCACTTACATTTCCTTAATCTCTCATTTCCCCTGCTTCTGCCTTCTGCTCAAAGACCCCTCTCTTTCCCCAGCTTCGTATTTTCTGTTTGCAAAGGCAGCCTTGGAGGAAGTTGTTGCTAATGTTTTGTTGCCAAAACCACATCCTTCCCAAAGAAATGCAACATCATCCTCAAGAAATAAATTTCACTCCTTCTGCCTGTTTTATTTCTTGCTAACGAATTGACAAATAAGTTCTCTGGAAGTTCTTCTCTGGAACAGCTGAGTAATAAAGCAAAAGTAATTCAGGGCAGTAAGGTCAGGAATGAAGAATTGCAGATAGACAAAATTCTGTGCAAATAAATGTAGCACAGTGCAAACTGGAGTGCAATTCCAAGTTCAAATGATAAAGTGATGGGCTTTTAACCAGGAATTACACTTTTAGTAATGAGATTTTGGGCTTATCATGATAGTCAAGCCCATGAAAATATCACCCTTCTGCTTGCTAGCACTGAAAAAAGCAAATAAAATTTTAGCAGTAAAGGCAATGAGTAAAATACCTAATTTTCTATATTCTACCAGGTACAGTTCATACAATGGCACAGCCCCAGCTGCTCTGTGAACAGAATTAATGAAACCTGAGGCATCCAGTATCCTGGAGACCTTTTCCCTACAATGTTATAGTTTCTCCCATTACTCACTCCCATTACTGTGAGCTGATGCTCAGCTGATGCCAGTGCAGGGAGCAGCTAAACCTCACCTGGGGCACAAACTTGGCTCATTATTCAGCTACAAATTTCTATGAAGCTGTCCAGATAGGACTGGACAGTTTGTCACAGGCAACCAGGAAAGGCACAGGATGAACACAGCATCCTATCAGCTTTGTTCTTTTAACAAGAGTGGGCCAACAGCAGCAGAGTGCCTTGAAGGCCATCCAAAATCCAAGTGTGCTGGGAAGAATAAATGCCTAGAGAGGCTACCTGGAACAGAGGCTGGACAGAGTTAAGGGAATAAAGCAGGGATTTATTAAAAAGCCTTCCAAGGATTCACCTTGGGCAGTGCAAGAGCCCGGCTGTGGCTCAATCCGAGATGGACTCTGAGTCAAGAGTTTTCACACTTTTATAAGTTTTGGTCCATATTGGGGTTCATTGTCTAATTCCATCTCCAGGTTCTGCAGTCCCATCCTCCCAGATTATCTCCTTAATTCCCTGTTGTTTGCACTTTTTGGGGCTGAAGCTTCCACGGTGTCCTTGGTTCTGGGGCTGGAAAAGGATTGTTTGTGTGACTGAGCTGGGAGGAGAACTTGCTAACACTTTATATGAAGTTCAGAGTCACACACTAATGCAGTAGAGAATCTGAATAAAATAAAGGCTAAAACTTAAGGCATCAGAACCACAAATACATGGGTCACTTTCTGCTTTTGTACTGCTATCTAGTGGCTTCTTGCAGGCAGAAAATGCAGAGGTGTCTCAAAAAAGAGAGTTTTCAGCTCCTCAGCCTCATCAGCTCAGCATGCTGCCAGACAATTTCCTGATGGCTGAATGGGTTCCAAGTGCCACCTGCTTGTCTCTAAGACTCATTTTAAAATGAGTGGATCCTGTTCCAACATCCACTGACACAAGTGCAGCTAATGAAAAGCCCAGGGAGCTTCTGCCTTTGTGGATGTGTATTAAACTGCATGCCCAAGGCAAAGTTCTTGCTCCACACAACCTTTGCAGAGATTGTTTACCAAATAGTTGCAGAGCAGAAAGACTTTTGTTGCTTCAAGATTTTGGTTATCAGATGGTCTAGAACTTTTTACATTAAAATCTTGCTAATATAAGAATTAATCTGAATTAGTCTGCAATATTAACATTAATTTTAAAAATCTTTATGGACAAGCATCTTTCATGATTAGGAGTCTTAAGGATAGCCCACAAACTCCATAAGAGCATGAATAGTTGAAATCAGATGATTTTGGAGATCCCACATGTCTAACTCTGACCCCAGCAGAGACTGATTACATAAAATTGTGGAAAGCAGAAATTGCTGAAGATGTTTCCTGAGAGCCAGTTCAGAGACCAGATCAGACTTCCTCCAGCTCCTGTCATGGGCTGGAGCCTGCAGCAGCAACAAGCTCAGCCAGACAGAAAGAAAGCAATGTCTGCAGCAGGGGCAGAGATTTGGGTTAGTAATTGTTATTAATAGTCAATGCAAAAATACAATCTGACACCAGCAGGTCATTTCTGGTTTCAGTGCCTTCTTACACAAAGCTACACATGATGTGAAGACAGAAAATGGCAGAGCTGGTTTTGTCCATCACTTTTCCTGCCCTTGGGATCAGTGATCATCCAATATCTGTGTTCCCACTTCTCAGTTAGCCATGAATTCACCTTCAGTTTTCAGCCTGCTACAACAGAGCCCAGGAGAACAGAGATCACAAGTGAAAATACAAAGCACCCCAAGGTCACCTGTCCCAATTTGCTTTCCATTTCTTCCTTCCTCAGCAGGATGAGCCTTTCCCTCCTTTGTGAGTCTTTGCAAGAACACTCACCTGTGTGACCCCACCTGAGCCAGACCCTGTGTGACCCCTGGGGAAACCACTGCCCTCCCAAGCCCTCCCATCTCCACCAGCTGGGACAAGGAGGGGTAACTTCTCCACTGACCCCAGCTCCCCCTAAAGCACAACCAGATCATAGCCTCAAGTGTCTCAGCATTAACATAAATACTTACTGATTTTATTAGTGACTTCATGCCTTACTGCATTGTTGAAATCATTTTGGAGTTTAACTCACTGGTAGACAGTTTGTGGTGCATCTGTGAGCTTTTCCTGTGGCAGCAGTGTCTGTGTTGGGTAATTCCACACTGCTGCTTAGGATGAGCTTCAGGGCAAAATGATTTGACCAATATTTGGTAAGAGTTGGTGTCTCTCCTGCCTGTGCTGTTTTTCTGCTCTTTCCCCAACCTCTGTTTATTTTAAAATGTGTTCTTAAAAAAATAATTGGGACAATTATTCTTCCACTTAAAGATGATTTGGGTGTGTTGTGTCTCTTGCTCAGTTAATTCATACTCACAGGACTGATTCCATTTATTTATTTATAGTAAACCAAAGTTAAGTTTAGCAGAGAATAAAAGATGAGGCACATCACTAACTGAGGAGAAGCACTTGGAGACAGATATTTCCCATTTATGAGGTAAAATCCATCAAAGACATTCAACTTTCTTAGGAATTAAGAGATGTTTGATATCTAGAGACGTGTGAAGGCAAGGTCAACTTTCAGCCAATATTTTGTGCCATGTCCATGATTTCTCTTTAAGCTAAGAAAATAATTTCACTAACTTTACAAAAGCAGGGGGAGAGGGGGAAGGTTGTTCGGGTTTTTTAGAGACTTCGAAGTGAGACTTTCCACCCCAAGGGCTTCACAGGGTAAAGATGTGCCCGAGGAGAAAGCCACAGAAAAATAGTGACGTACTTTGCGAAAAAAACCTCACTTAGTCATAATTCTCTGCACACAAGCTGTGACTGATCTGTCCATTGACATACTGATGCTGTAGACTTCAAGGATATCCCCTCGGGGGTGAGCAGCCATAGCTCCTCCAGATTTAATTCCAGGTGGACAGGCTTTAGTACATTGCATTACCAAGCTGTTACCAGAACAGGCCATACCTGATTTCAATGAAGATACAACTAAGTGTGTATTAAATTACTAACACTATCAAGATTGGCCATGTGACATCTTTGTCACACAGCTCTGAGATTGCTTCTGCCCTCTGATGGCACAGACTGTGTGGAAGGTGGAAGATAGAATCCACAGTGAACACAATTGTGCCCTTCTGGCACTTCCTCTTTTTTTTTTTTTTTCCAAGGAAACGAGAATTTGAAGCAGATAATAAATAGAATCATAACTTTCTTTAGGAAATGGAAAGTTCCACCAAGGCCAGTTTTGGTTTCTGTCTCTGGAACAGGCTGATAAAGATTTTAATTAAAAGTGTAGCTTTTATTTGTTTTATTATTAGGAAGTGAATAATGCTTCAGTAGCGCAGTCACGATCAGCTGCTGAGCAGAGGGAGCAGCCAACATTTTGCAAACTATTTAATGTCCCAGCAATGACAAAGGCAGCCATGCATCCAGTCCTTAGTGCATGACATAAATATTTTCCTCTGCATGATTCTCATCTTCCAGGGCACTATGACTCCCCATACCTTGTGGCTTCCAAAATGCAACAAAGCTGCAAAAAAGAGTAAAAAAACATGGTGTTAAACCAAAAACAGACAATAAAACCACAGAGTTACAGATCAACTAGCTCACTAGAAAATGTAAAACAGGCTTAAACATGTGATCATGACCAATAATGAATCATCTTCCCACTTCTGAGAAAATTCACACCTGAAGTTAGCAAGCTCCCTGATGCTATGAATTGACAGTGACATTTATTTTTGCTTATTAAGTAATGAAAAGTAGCACGAGTTATTGGTTTCTTTTTATAATATTTTCTATTAACTTGAGGTTAAAAAAGGAAGCCAAAATATATGGTGGAATGGTCAGCACAATGACTTTTTTCCTGTAACTCATTTGTCCTATTAGCAAAAGCAGGAACAGAAAACTTACCCTGCAGAAGCACCCATCTTCTTCGTGTTGTAAAAATAGTCTAAGGACCATCCAGAACGAAAATAAAGAAAAAAAAATTCAATTCATTTAAACCACTAGAAGCAAGTAAAGTAGTAGGTTCAAAGATAAACTCAAGTGTTAGAAACTAAATAAGGGAACTTAAAAAATGTTTTCAGGATAGGAAATTCCCATTGTGAGCAGCCTCCAAGGGCCTCCAGGGACCTCAGGTCCCTGCTCTGAAGTGGGAGATGTGGCATCAGCCACAGCTGTGACTGGACAAAGCTGAGCAATCCTTGAGTACCTGCCCCTGAAAAGTACTCACGTTTAGAGAGGAACAGGGCCAAGATCAGGATGAGCAGAAGTGCTGCACATGAGCCAATGCCAATGTACAGCCCGTGCTCTGCATGCTGCTGACTGGGAAGTGACGCAGACGTGTTCTGTCAAACACAAGCCAAGGAGCATTAGTGGAACTGACAGCAAGAAGCCCTTGCAATACCCAAAGGCCTTCTGTGTGTTTTGGAACTCTGCAGGAAAAGCACAACTGAGACCAAAAGCCTAATTTGAGAAACAGGCCCAGTTTCAAGCAGAATCTCTGCAACAATCGTGTGAACCGTGCTATTAAACACAGTCCAAGATTTTCAGACCTGAAGTTATGACAAATCTCATTTTTTCAGGTTTAGTAACATTTGGTGAATTTTTTTAACGAGTAAGATGTCTCATGATCTCACACCCTCCCAGCTGTGCAGCAGGACTCAGCAGGGCACACAGAGCTGCCTGTTTGACCCCCACTGCAGGGGAATGCAGGGCACTCCAAGTCCCACTCCTGCCCACGTCCTGCCATACCTGCAGGTTTACAGTCACATCCAAGCAGTCTGAGGGGCTTGAGCAGGGAGCAGAGGCCTGAAGGGAAATACAGATGCTGCTAAAGCTCTTCCTCCTCTAGAAGGAAGTACTTTATGCATGCTAAGCAGGGTTTTTTCTCCACTCTCTAATAGTGAGCACATAAGCACTCTTTATAACCACTAAACACGCAGACTACAAAACAATAGTCTGTTGCAATCAGACAAAAGCAGTGGAAGAGACCTGTGGGGATGACCCAGATACCTCTCAAGTCCATCCACTCTGTCTAGGTGTGCTATAGCAAGGTTGATGCTTACAGTATGAGGAGCTTCTGAAGCAGAAACCGATGGCCAGGTCCTTGTGACAGTGAAGGACGATTCACTGGTGCTGCCAGGAGCTGAGCAAAGGCAAGACAAACACATCACTTTCACAGAGAACTGTTCTGCCTCGACAGAGAAGAATTTGTACTGCTGACTTGGGAGTCTGAACCTCTGTGTGTATCAGCAGTCTGGGCTCCGCTTATCATAAGAGGTTGGTGCCTTCAGAGGGCAGCACAAAACTCTGAATACTGAAGTTTCTGCTGCTCTTTTCAGAGCTTTGAACTCCTTCTTAGAAATACTTGGCTCTTGCTCTTACCTCAACACTGTGAAGGAGTTACCAGTCGGTTCTGGAGCCAAATAGCAGACCATAAAACCACAGAATCATAAAACAGATTGGGTTAACAGGGATATTAAAGTCCATATCATTGCAATCCCCTGTCATGGGCAGGGACACCTTCCATTAGACCAGGTTTCTCAATGCCCCATCCAACCTGGCCTTGAAGCAAAAAATTATGCATAAAGCAAACTGAGGTTATCAGCTGAAAACTGATGAAGATTATCTCAGGGCCTTGAAGCAGCACACGATGCAGAGCCACAGAAAGCAGGGGATACTTTCAAAGCCCCAGGCAGCTGTACAGTAAACAGACTGCACAAAATGTGATCTATTTGCATAAGGACCTGCAGCACATTTTGAGGTAATTTCCCAGAGCACAGCTGTTTGCAGCATTTAAAATTCAAAGCTACAAATTTCTGTCTTATCTATCATCAGTCTCACTTTCTCCACGTGTTGTCAGATGACATAAAAACCTCCTGAAAACAAAACTCCGTTCACTCTGTGCCAACCCCAGCTGGTTGCTTTTATGTTTTAAATTGTTATCCTTATCCCAGAAACTTTATTTTGAAGAGGACAGGATCATCAGCTTCCACTGGAGATTCTAGAGCATTTCTAAATCAGAGGAACATGGTCACCTGCCTTTTCCAATCTCCCTCAGTGTGAACGTGCACACACTACCTTGTATTCTGAAAATTTCAAACACTGCTCCACCATCAGCTAAGGAAGAGGTCACTGGGATAAGAAAACCCCTCAGTTCTAAGATTGGAATCGATATTATTGCAACTAGAATAGAAACTGTCTGAGAAAGTTTTCACTTCTTCTTCCAAAAAGGAAATGCAACTGTTGTAATGCTAATTTGGAGTTGCTTAGCTGGAAACATCCAAGATAGAGGGAGAAATACAAATGGCATCCCTGGTTTTCTTTTGGTTTTTTTTTGTTTTTTTTTTCAGAATACAGAGAATAAGCCATTGCTACACCACGAGGTTTCTCTCATGTAGTGGAAATTAAAGCTGTCTTTTTCAGACTGGAAATTATGCAGCTGAGTGGGTTTGTGATAGAAGTTCATATCATACTTTTGTGAGGGGAATGTAGAAAACAAGTGAGGAATAGCTGAGCTGAGCACTGTCTCTTCCCCTGCAGTGAGGGACCTCACATTATTAAACATGCACAGAGGCTGTGAGCAGCCTCTGGGACACACCTTACACCAGGGTGGAAGAATAATTTGGCACTGTATCACAAAATTATTGCCATTTTTCTACTGTCCTACTTAATTATCTGCTGCTGACTGCTATAGGAGGCAGAAGCCTTAATTCAATGCTCTTTTGAGCTAATCCAATAAAAAAAGTCTGATTAAATAGTGGGTACACCCAACTCCTAAAAGTTATGTTTTACCATTTATGGGATGCATTTCTAGAAGATGAGGTGAGATGATATACCACAAAAATACCCAACAAACAAAAACAACAGTCAAATAAAAGCAAACCTTGCAGCATCACTAGAAGATCTACTTAATTATCACACCTAGAAGCAGCTTCCTCCCAAATATACATGCTCCTTCTGTTAGACTCTGTATAATATCAAGCACAATTTAAATCCAAGTTTTGATCTTTGGTAATGTTTAATAAATTTTAGCCAAGACATTTCTATCATCTATTTTTTTTCCTTTCTAAGATTCCCCATTTGCAATATGGCTTCTATATATGCTATTAACACTCGGATAAAAGTTACCTGAGGTCTGTTGAGAGGTGTAAGTGTGAGGACTTGCAGTAGTGATCCTTGCTGATGTTAAAAAATAAAACAAAATCAACACGTAATTAACCTTACTGGGCATTTGTGTAGTGAGAAAGTGTTTCCATAATAAAAATTTGCTAGTAAAGCACATTTGTCAGCCACTTGTTCTATATAGTATCACAAGCAAGAGAAAAACTAAAGATCAAAGGAAGCTTAGATAAAAAGCTTCTCTATACCAATTTTGCATGCCTGGGCTTTAGTCTAGAATCAAGCAGGGAAAATCAAACACAGCTTTCAATGAAAAATGTACAGCAGTAAAGCTTTGGATGAATACTTTATGCTGCCCTTTCTTTTAAATTCTTCAGTGTCTCTAAGAATGCTCCATGAAAGCATCATGTCCTTTTTTAATTGCAGTTACTGCAGTGAGATAACAACACTACCAAAGGCAGCTTAACTGAGGTAGCACAAAGAGCAGATGTGCAAGATCCTCAAGATCAGTCTAATGGGTGATTGCAGAAATCATTTCCACCACAAGCTTTGAAGTCCACACCCAGGAGCAGATCCACCACAATGGTTCTCACAAGAGCACTCCTCTGCACTCACCTTTCTTTACCACAACCTTGCGATCAATCAATTGATCGTTGAACCACCCTGGGAGCTCCACACGGCAGCAGTAGGTCCCAGAATCTGCTTCCTTGGCATCCACAATCGTCAGGGACACGTCCCCCCTCCACAGCTCCCCTTTCAGCTGGTACCTGCTGCTGTGCTGCTCTGTCACCCTCCAGCCATCTGTCCAGATAATGGGCTGGGAACATTTTGAAATGGGGCACGAGTCCCGACCCCAGCACATGGATGTGATGTCATCTCTGTACCGGACATTGTAGTGGCAGGGCACAGTGATGTCCTGACCAACCTCTCCTATCACAGCTAATTCCGATACTGTGGAGCCTGTGGACAAAAACACAAACAGTTATTGAGCACAGGGCAAGTGGAAGCTTCCTGTGCATCTTGCATGTCCTGAAACCTCCCATCTCACAAACAGCACCAGGCTTTGCTGGATCAGATTTTGCACAAATAGATGTGTTCTGGCAGGACTGGTGCAGTGAGGGATAATTATCTCAAATGTTGAGAAAGAACATTTTCTGCAGCCTCTGCAGGTAGGAAATGAGGTGAAGACACTCACCTGAGTGCAGTCTCTTGGCTCTTAGCTTTTTCCTTTGTGTACATTTAGCCCAAGCCACACACACGGGAGAACAGTAAGACATTGACTTTCCTCAAAACCACCGTGGGAGTCTTTTTCCCTTTCAATGAACTGAACTGAACTGCAGGTTTTATCAGAATGATCACTGCTGAATGAATTTCCTTTTGCCTTAAGGCAGGTTCTGCCCATTCTTATCAGAAGAAATTTTTCAGGCCTTTTCTGAGGAATACTATACATACTCTTTTTTTTTTTTTCCCACTACCTTATTCTCTCTTCTAAGTCTTACGCAGTTTTTACCTTGTTTGCTTCCCCATAAATTTGTCACGTTTCCAGGAGTGTGTGTCACGCTATTCAGGTCAAGACAGTGAGCCCTAACACCCAGCAGCCCAGTCATGACAGTGAAAAAACTCTTTTGCCCATTCCAGCTCAGGTCTTTTCCTAACCTTTTATACTTAAAAATAAACTTGCATGCAGAGATTTTGCCACAATTACACATCAGAAACAAGTCTCTGCAACCAACTTATCTTATTTAATATGAAAAGGAAGCTCAAAATGAAATTAATCATAAAAGGCTTTATAAAGAACTACAAGAAATATCTGCAATATCCCTTTTCTTTCTACTGAATTTATCTTACCACCAAGTTTTTAATGTCTTTCTGTCTTTATTAGTAACACTTTGCAACCTGTTCTTTTCATTGCTGCTGCCCTTAACAATCTAGGACTCCTCCCTCAGGATTAAAAAATAAAGGAAAAAATTGTCAATTTTTTAATGTCCCACTATTTTTTCATAGGGCTAAAAAATACCAGAAGCCACAGTTGTCTACTAAGCATTCATCTTCACAAAGCCTGCCAAAATGAAATGTCCTTGTTTTACATCTTCTCTAAAACAATTTAAAGTTCTCTGCTCAAATCATCATTATCTACAAAAGCCCACTAAAATGAACAGCCAGCCCAAGAAGCAGCATCTTTAAAACCCCCACAACCCCAGCACGTTTCTGTTTTCCAAAGGAGACAATGCCATTAGAACTCTACTGAGCCACTGTGATGAAGTTCTATTTCAACACAGAGAACTGCAGCTTCTGTGATGTGGCCACTCTTCCTGTACCAAGATAAAATTTCTCTTTGCTACCCTCAGAATCCCTGATACATGTTACCTCCACCCACCTCCATCCAGTTGTTCCTGTCCCCTTGGTTACCTGTGAACAGCACCAGGAGAACCCAGTTCAGGCAGATGTAAGAAAACATTCTGGCTGAAGGTGACAAACAACGCTTTTTCTCATTCAAGAAAAATTTTCTTCTTTGTGAGCTTCCGTGTTGGGTTGTCCTGCAGCACAGTCAAGCTCTGCTGGGGCAGAGTACTGAGCTCCTGCCTGCAGGGCTTTGACTGAGAGGTGACAGCACTTCACAGCACCACACAAATCTGCTTCTCTTTTTTTCCAGATCTGTTTGATGACTGTAAGTGAAACTTGACAGCAGCACTGAGCTGACACGACTATCAGCAATTACTGCCCCAGACTGCTTCCCACACCTGCTTTTGCCACAACAGACAGTGTTTAGATAAAACATTACATAATATGTAGCAGACTGTGGTAAGTGGAAAGGGCTTGGCTAAATAACAGATTTGCAGGAGGAACTATTGAAGGTTTTGTTTTCATCATATGTTTCTGATTCTAATATTTAGAAGCAACTCAGAGCATCTTCTGCAAATTTTCTTTGGCAGCAATAATTTGGTAGTTTTGGAAAAGAGTTGAGCCTAATGGAGTGCCAGTCTTTTTTCCTATTTAAAAATTCCATATGCATCTAGGTTTTTGCAATACAACATAACATCCAGAATAGAGAATAGACTTGAAAAAGTAGTGTGGAAACCATGACTCAAGGCTCACTGTGACAAAATGCTGAACTACAGCTTTTGAGAAATGCTGTTCCCTGTGCCTGAATCACCACACTCTCCTCAAGGATATCTTGTCTTTTTGTATCATTTTGTGTCTTTTTGTACTGTTTTGTGTCTTTTTGTATTGGGCTAGAACTGCACACGTGATCAAGGGCCAGGAAATATTTTTTGCTGAAGCAGCTGAGCTACTTCACAACGTTTTATACAGGTGAAATTAAGTACTAGGGTGTTATTCATGAGTAAGTGGAAGATGCTAGAATTGGAACATTGCCTTGCATGATTACCTTATAGAACAGAGGCACCAAACTGACAGGTTTTCTAAGTGAAAGTAAGGAAAACCAAGGGATCAATGTAGCTGAGACAAACTGGCAACAGTTGTAGGAAAGGGTGATTTTTGCATGCAGCAGCTGGAAGCAGAACTCCGTAAGAAAAGGTTTCCTCTCAGCTCTTGTGGTTTCTAAGGAAAACTGCAGAGAGCTGCTAGAGGAACAATTCGGATAATTACCAGCAGGATCCTGAAACTGCTCTGCAAAAATGGAAAAGGCAGGGCAGGCTGGCTCTGCCAGGATCCCAGGAAAGCCATTCTTGTCACACAATAAAGGGATGTGAGAGCTACAGGACAACAGTTAATCCACTTGCTTTAGATTTCACCTCAAACACAAACTATAAGGAATGCCTCAGTGTAATTTGGGTTTCTGTGTGCCTGTTTTCCAAGTTTCTGTCTGTTGTTCGTGTAAGGAACGAGCATCATTTCTGTAGGATTTTTTTTCTGGACTCAGAGCATATAGAATGGAAGTAGCAAATGCAAGTACAACAGGAAAACCCAACTTTAATCTGTGCCTACCACCTCACATGATATAGTTAACAAAAACTAGACTTTTCCAATTTTACCAAAAAAACACAGGTCACAAAACATTAAACATTTTCATCTGCCCAGTCACTCACAACCTCCAACAGGTGCACAACAAATGCTTAGTCTGCTTGTACAAAAGCAAAACAAAATACAACACGTATCCTCAGAACCCCTTCTGTCTCTCACTGTGGTGTATTCACAAAACCAGGTGTTTGCTTCATGTCATTTCATCAATAATGCTGCACATTGCTGCATCTTTGTCCAAAACCTGATCTCTCTTGCCACCAGAGCGCTCCCTCTGCTTTTCGCTCTGTCCAACGCAGTTGCTGCCATCATCAGCATCCATGGGCTCCACGCTCACTCTCAGTCCCCCCTCTGCATGAGGCAGATCATCAGGCAGGGAAGCCAGGCAGTTCTGGATCATCTCCACGACTCGCTCCAGGTGCTTCTGGAATCGCTCGGCCGTCTCCAGGCGCTGCCGTTTCTGCACCTCCATCATCACCCTCAGCGTCTCCCTGGCCTGGTGAGGGCGATACTCATTTATAAGGTGATGCACGTGGACAAAAAGCAGTTTCAAGTCTTCCAGTTTCTCCTCTCGCTTTATACTCCCTGGACTCCTTATCAAGATGTCCAAGAGGTCCAGAAAGTTGACCAGGATAGACATGTTTAGCTTCCTTAACTCCTTCTTGTGATCAAACTGCATAGGATGCAGCCGTTCAATTCCCTGGCTCTCCAGGGGCCGAATGATCAGATCATCACACTGGAACTGATTCCCAAACATCATGTAGCTGTCCTTCACAGGTGGAGGTGGCTTTGGAGCCAGCCCTTTACGGATGTTTTCATCAGTATATTCTTTGATATATTGCATTGGAGGTGGAGGAAGGGCGCTCACTTGTTGAGGTTCACCCATTTTTGTCAGAGGAAATTCCTAGGGAATGACCCAAGAAACAAATGTTAACGATTTGTCACAAGGTTATAATGCAAACATAAACAAAAACAATATATGGGAGGTGGCTGTGAGAAAATGAGCCAGAAAAGACAAATCTGTGTGCGGAATACAGGAAACTTATGGCAAATCCACATTACCTTTTCACTAAGTTTTCCTTATGGCAAGATTAACTGTACTAGAAGCACACAGAACACTTATTTCCCTAAATATGAAAGACCAGCCTGTAAACTAGGCAGTCAAAGGGAGAGGAGTGACTCCCTTCCCTAGATAGAGCCTGGTGGGCAAACCCCCAGAATCAGAGAATATCCCAAGTTGGAAAGGATGCACAAGGATCAACCCCAGGCCCTGCACAGAACACCCCAACATTCCCCTCCTCTGTGCTTGAGCGCGTGTCCCAAAGGCTTCTTGAACTCTTTCAGGCTAGGAGCTGTGACCAAGGAGAGCCTGGGGAACCTCTTCAGTGCCCGACTACCTGCTGGAGAAATAAGCTTTTCCTAATACCCACCTAACCCTCCCCTGGCACAACTCCAGCCACTCCCCCGGGCCCTGTCACTGCTCACAGAGGACAGAGATCGGCGCTGTCCCTCGGGGGGAAGTTGCAGCGCGCGGTGAGGTCCCCCCTCCGTGTGCCCCTCTCCAGGCTGACCGGACCAAGTGACCTCAGCCGCTCCTCGTGCGGCCTCCCCTCTTCACCCGCGCCTCACGAGAAGAACCGGGCCGGGCCCACACCCGCCACCGCGGCTCTGAGGAGGCCCAAACCCCGCGGCGGGGCTCGCCAGGCCCGTAGTGAAGAGACAAGAGCCGGAACCACAACCCGGCAGAGAGCACGAACCCACCCAGAGGCCTCACCGACCCTCCCGCCCTCACCTGCCCGCTCCGCCCGCCGCGCTCCCTCAGCGCCGCCGCCGCTTCCGCCCGGCCGGCCCCGCCCCTCTCTTCTCATTGGCTCGCGGTCTCGCGGTGCAGAGCTCTGATTGGCTGTCGAGCGGAGCAGTCAGGCGCTTCTCCACTCAGCTCGCTCGGGGGCGGGGACAGGTGCGGGGCGTGGTTCTCGTCATGGCGGCGCAGCGGGTTTGGGGGCTGCGTTGTCCTGCTGCCCTGGGACCCCTGAGAGTTCTGTGACACCCCCCCCCCCTCAGATTTCCGTGGCCCCTCAGGGTTCTGTGACCGCCTCAGGGTTTTTTGACCCCTCAGGTTTCCGTGGCCCCTCAGGGTTCTGTGGCCCCTCAGGGTGCGGGGCTCCCTCGCCACACGCCTGCCGTCCCTCGGGGGTGCTCGCAGCGCTGGGACAGCGGGGACGAGACTGCGTGAGGGCGGCCCCGCTGCTGAGAGACACAGAAATCACAGAGTTAGGTCGGAAAAGACCTCTGAGGTCCCCCTGGGAAGTGTTTGCAGCCTTCCTGCAGTAGAATACACTAAATCGGACCATAACTGTGACAAACGGTTGCGCTCCGTTGCTTTTCTTTCAGTTTTCTTCTAGCAGGAGTTGAAGCTAACATCGTGGATTTAAGTTTTTCACCGGGTCGGGTGGGGCTGGGATTGCTGGCATCGCTTCTGCAGGATTTTCTCTCTAGAATGGCCAACAGGGGAGGATTTTTGGACGCTCTGCCGTTCCTGTGCCGCTCTCTCTCCCTCAGCAGATGGCAGCAATGGCCTTGGTGACAGGGACCCAGCATCACACACGCAGTGTCATTTACAGATTCACTCTTCCAGATCGATCATTTACTAAAAAACAAATCAACCGAATGATAATTACTTTGGATCCTGTTAATTATTTCTAAAAGCATGCAAATAAGATCCAGAATCGTTAGATTTATTTATAAATGATGCACAGAATATCTGAATATTTATATATTTTCCAAACTAAGCTACACTTTACAATGAGTTGAATATTTAAACATTCCAAACTAAACTACATTTTACAATTTACAGTGAATACAAGCCTGGCTGCAAAATAGGCTGATTTATTTTCATTTGTAAGCAATTTGCTGAATTCAGATAAAGATGAAGTTCCATGCTGCAACTAAAATGTTTTTGCTTTGGAAAAGGAGGTCTCATTCCTTTACCCCTATTCCTGCTTCCTCATCCCTCTCTCCTTTCTTCCTTCTCTGCTCCTCCAGCCCCTGCACTGGCTGTGAATCCCTTTCTTGTCGCTGCTTGTGCCATCACCATCGGGCACTGGGTTGCAAAGGGAACTGATGCAGCCCCAAACCCCAGAAAAACATTACTGCAGTTTTTCTTGGTTAAGTTTTCAGCTTTTCTAGTGAGTTAAGTCAACATTCTGTGCCCTGTGAGCATTTGGGAGAGCTTTTGAGAGAGGAGAGTGCATAGGCAGAAGGAAAGGAGGAGTTTGGGGACATGGGGTGGGGAATTGTTCTTTCCATTTCTGTGACAGAAAGCTCTTATCTCGTCTAAATCATCTTGTTACATCATCCTCTGAAAGACAGGCAAGGAATAAAAATCATCGCCTCCAGAAATGTGTGAGATAACACGTGTGGTAGGAGGTACCAACATACCTTTGGTTTTATTGGACTTTCCAGACTTTGATTTCACATTCTTTTTACAGGAGCTGAGCTTGACTCTCTAGTGCCTTGCCCTCAGTGAACCATGCAGCAGGGATGTAAAATGCTGTGACTTTAAACAGGAGCAGGCAGTGAGAGCCAAACTCTTTTTTTTTTGCTCGATCTCTGTGATCTCCTTGACTCACTTTCTGTATGATGGTGGCCAAGACAGAGGGGATGTAACGTCAGTCTTGTTCTTGGTGACAGGGTTGGTTCTCAGAAGACTCATGGATGACCCTTTCCAGCCCACGGGGAGCTGCTGACACTTCTCCTTACAGTGGTTCTAAATGAGAAATTAAGAATGATGGGGAATGTCAAGTGTAGCACTCTACAGTTTGCTTTCTGCTCCATTCCAGCTCTTCTCTAACATAAGGGCATGATCCAGCATAAGCTTACCACTGATAATGAAGCACAATTCCTACATCATCTCCAACTTATGGGAACTTGGACACTCCTTCAGCAGATGGTGAAGCAGTACCATGATATTCTCTGCCTCTAAAACTCAACATCTTAATTTACAGCTTTGGTTAAGTTTATTTTCATTTTCTTCATTACTAATTTTGTGCAAATTGGCATGTTTCAGTAGCAGGCACTCCAGTTCTGTTAATTCAGCAGCAGTGTGTACAGTGTGTGCCATTGCAGTATGCTGTTATTTTAGCAGAACTGGAATCCAAACATTGTACAAGCACAGTAAATATAAACCCCATTTTCAACCATGCTTTTAGAACAGCGCTGCTTTCTTCTGTGCTACAACGGATTTCTTTCATTTCTTGCTGCTATTGCACTCTAAATAAAAAATGAATAAATAAATAAATAAATGTGTTTTTCTCCTGTTGTCTGAAAAACAACCCCAAAGTCAAACTCGGTTCCAGTCTCTTACTGGGTGTAGGTTAGGGTTATATCTTATAGCCTGATTAAGCAATGAGCTCAGGAGTTTCCTTTTTTGGTGATTGTTACAGGCTTTGTTGGAGGATATACCAGGGAGGAGGGTGAGAGAAAAGGAGCCTGTTGGGGGTGAAGGAGACTTAACCAAGCTTTATGTCTCCATCTGCTGTGGTTAATTCCCATCTCCCTGTCTCCCGCTGTGGCTTCAGGAGTTAATGAATTTGCAGTGCAGTGCTGTGTAGCCTTTTCTTCCTGACTCCTCAGACTAAAATATCAGCTGCAGCCTATTGGCACACCTGCTAATGTAGGGAAGGAGTTTAATGTTCCCATCATGTGAAAACTGGGGCACAACAGAGTGCAGTGCACATGACAGCTGAACTGTTTCTTGCTCTACAGCCTGTAATCAAACAGATTTAAAGCTGAAAACAGAGCTTTCATGGTTATTTAGCAATAAAACAGGTATCTCACTAGTATTAGGAAACTGATAGGGCTTGAAATCCAGGCATGTTTTGATAGAATCCCCCAACACTCCTTCCTATGTTCGTAGCCATGATATTGGCATTGGAAGCAGTCCCCCCCCGACCTGATTTTTAAGCCCAACATTAATGCCGGGTGTTTTCCTGCTCACATGCCTGTTGTAACTGCTTACTCAAACATGTAAATGAACATGTCTCAAAAAAATGCATCTGCATGGCACAAAGAAGTAATTCCTGTCCAACCATCAGTGACCTGGGCATGGCAAACGTGTTTTATTGCCAGGGTAAACCCTGGGATCTGCAGCATGCTTTGCCAGCAGTGCAAGTCCCACCTTTGTCTTCAGAGGGAGACAGAAACAGACAGGAACCACGATAGCCAGGCACTAATAAAAGGAGCTGGAACAAAATCCCAGTTTGGGTACGACCCCCATGAAACGAGGTGTTCCTTTCTGCATTTTTGCCTAAGAGAGAACAGCTGAGGAAAGGATTAATTGTCCCTTCAGCACAGAAGAGCCTGTCCTAACCCTGTGCAAGCTCTCCAGTATAAAACATGTTCTCTATGTTACTGCCAGTCCTGGGAGTTACTCACTTCACAAATTATGGATAATTCACTACATCCTCCCAGCAGATGCTCAGAACAAGGCATCCACTTTCCCAAGGCTTCCAAACAGTTCACAGGGGAATCTTGCTCTGCTTCTACAGCTCCCTGGGTCACTGGGAGCAGTGTGAGGGGATTCAAATGTGCAGTTGTAGGACCTCGAGAAAAGCTGGATGAATCTGGCTCCTAAAGACCAGGCTAATTCTTCTCTTTTTCTGCAGCTTTCTATCTTGTGCTTTGGGTCTACTGGAGCCTGTTTATTGGGGTGATAATGAACTGCTAAAGAACCAAGACAGCTGAGTAACCTAAATAAGAGTTTCTCACACTCTGAGCTAAGTAGCAAAATGGGTTGAATTATGGAAGTTTAGAAGTTGAGTAATAATCAGCATTGAGCAGCTGGTGTAAAGGAAAAGCTGGCACCCAGGCAGTAAACCTGACTCAAATATTGCACATGATAGAAGGATACAGGTCAATTTATGAGAGTGAAGAGAGAGCTGCAGCCTTCTGGACTGTTGGTTTTTTTAGTTTTTTTATAGAAACAAAAGCTACCTATATTTAACTTCATAAATTTCTCTGCCGCCTTCAGGACATAAACCTTGGTATCAGAGCAGGATGTGCGGGTGGGGAGATTTTCACAGTCTGCTATAATCAAAGTGAGAACTGCATAATCTGGGTAAAACCCCTATGAAAAAATCCAATCCATAAAATAACATTCTTTTTTTAAATCAGAAATAGAGCAGTTTACAAGGTAGCAAGGAAAGAACAAAGGTGATTGAAAGAAATAAAGGAGTTCACTGAAGCTACAGTTGATAAGAACCTTATCTGCAATCTCAACTTGCCCGACACAGAGGACTATTTAGAGCACCCAGCAGCTTAAACTTCAACTTGAATAAGTTAAAATATTTCAGATTTTCTTGCATATGGACAGAAAAGTGCCAAAGGGTACATGGTAGCAAGCTTTTTAAAAGCAGAGAAGATGTAGGATACCTACAAAATTCATCACCCCTCATCATGCAGTTTAGTCTTTACAGTGGTTTTAAGATATTCAGGACAGTAATATTTAATTCTTTTCTACAAAGGATACAGAATTTCTGTACCTTGCAATATGAAGTGCTGCCAAAATTCTTGAAAGGAGCATTCAGTGTAAAACTATACCTTCCTACAAGGTCAGGTTCCAGAAATGAGGTACTTGTGTTAGTGGGACATTCCAGCCCTCCTGAGGAGCCCTTTCAGGAAGGCTTTGTAGTTTGTGTCTAGAGCTCTGCAGAGACCTTCACATACTCCAGCTCTGCAGCCAACTTGCTCCTAGGCAAGTGGTGCATTTATTTATTTATTTATTTATTTATTTATTTATTTCCTTCTCGACTGTAGAAGGGTCCTGAAGCACTTCAGACTTCAATGAGGCTTTCTTTAAAAGGGTTATAACCTTTATTTACCCAGATGGACAATGACAAATGATTTATTTGAAAGGAAAGAAAAATGAAAGGAACGAAACGTTGTGAAAGGAATGAAAAATGTTAGTTAAAAATCGGTTCAGAAATAATGATCTTTGAAATTCCAATACACTTAAACAGGTTACTCTCTCCTAAATGTACAATTAAATATAAATACTATACTTTAAACCATATGCTTTTTGTTTATACATGTCAAGCAGCTATACATTCTTTAGACTTAGCATTCCTTTCTGCTTTTGGCTTGCTACACTCAAGTGTTTGTGTGTTTTTTTATGCAAGGGGTTTGGAATTAAGGTGAAAAAAGAAAAATTAAGGGGTACATCTGAGGCAAGAGTGATGCAAAGATACGTCAGCCACTGCTTTCTTCCCCAGTTCAGGACAATTTTCAGCTGAGAAAGATATTGCAAAGCAGAACTAGTTAGCAGCTTCACTGAAACCAACACCCATATTTATATGAAATCTATGTTTATATCAAATCCCATGTTTAAACAAATCTAGCTGTGATTTGTTTCCTTCCTCCAGGTCGTTCATATTTTCCCTGTTCACTCTCTTGGCTGGCCTACCTTCACTTTAAACCATGAAAAACTCAGAGTGGTTGACCTTGCCTGCTAAATCCTGCTAGTTCTTACATTCTGAGCCAAAATCTGTGCTTGTTTCCTTGCAGTTATTTTCGTATTTTCTTGTGCATCTTTCTGCATATGCTGTATCAAACCCATATCCTCAATTTCTCCTTGTTTTTCTGCTCCCCGTGTTACCTGGCCCCTGGCAGCCCCTTCCTATCAGGCAGGGTGTCACATCATGCCATGTTTACACCAAATGCAGTGCAGTTGCCAAGTCCCTAATCTGTGTATTTGATCAAATTGCTCCCCTCTCCGTGTCCCTCTGAGAACTCATCTCTTATCTCATGAGCAAATCAAGCTGCCAGTCACTATGTTCAAAGAATTTCTTAGCTCTCCCCCCACTACTCACCACCTTGGTTAATCTTCTCTGCCCCCACATCCTCCATCTCCAGCACCTCTCAGAGATTTCCGTGCTGGCTTCTCAACCTCTCTGCTGTCCTGTACTGCTCCTTCTTCTGTAGAGCTGCAATGTCACACCCTTGTATTTCTATTTATATTCCATTTTCTGATAAGACAACATGTACATCTCTGCCAGCAGACTGCAAACCACTCTGGCCCAAGCCACAGAGATTTTTCACCAGGTCCTTAACACAACACAGTTAGTGTGAAGAGGAGACTAGAAAGAGTCATATTCCTAAACAAGTGTTACTAGCTAAAAATGCAATGCCGATAAAAATTATCATTATAAACTCAACTATACTGACTCAAATCAAGTGAAATATTTGTTGATCAAGATCCAAGCCTTTTTGGGGGTCATTCACCGTTGCAGGCACAGTGAAATCTTTAAGTTTATCAGGGCATTCTACTGCACGTTTTTTGGTTCGTTAATTACAAGAAAGAATCTCAGAGCATAATTTAAACCAGCAAATTCTCAAGCATAAGGAAATTTATAAGCACACAAAAGTGGTCCTATATTTTGGAGGTGCAAGCTTTGGAATTTATCCAAATAGCTGCTGTTCACACAGGGCTCAATTCCAGAAAACCCACATCAAACTCTGCATATTTTGTACGTGTGTGCTGCATGAGGCAGACTGGCTTGTAGAAGAATTGGGAAATCCGACCTGAGCATTTATCCAAATCTACAAATAGGTATGAAATCCCCCTTGACAGCAGTGATACTTTTTTAGGAGATCACACACTTGTGTCATCTCACCACAAAAGTTCCTTGGTACTCCGTCACTCTGCCTAGAAATGAAGTACAGGTTTACTAGACTTCAGCATGACAAATGTTACAATATCTGCTGCATCTTGTCTTCAGCAAGACCACCACATTTATTTATATAAATATATAAATATAAATATATATATATATATATATATGGCAAATGCGCATTATTAATTAGCATTGAAAAAATTTGTTAAAGAACATTTGATGACCCCTGAGCCTACTGTGTAAAAAATGTAAAGCAAAGAAGGGATCTGCTACTTCTTATTTTGGGAGAGATAAACATTATATTCTGTGGTTCCTAAGCCAGTCCATGAACTGCCCTAAAACAAATCCAAATCTTCACTTTTTTTGCAATTCTCATATTTGTTCTGATTTTTTTCCTCATGAATAGTATTTAAAATAAATCTAATATCTTGTTTTGAGCTTGAAAACACTCTAAAAATACATCAGCGATATGCAGCTGCCTCCTTACATCCTAATGCTGCATTAAATTCAGCACCAATAAATGATTTACACTAGAATGATTTTCAGAAATATCATATTAAAATGAACATACTTTTTTTATCTTGCTGTTTACCCACGTTCCACCAGACTCCATCTCTCCAAACCCCAGTACTGTCAGCAATACAATCATACATCAATAATACAAAAAATACACAAAATATTAAAAATTAAGGAGCAGAGAAAAATTAATTACATTTATTTTAAAATAGAACAGTGCTGTTGTACTGACTGCATTAGATACATCATAATTTTTTTATAATTCTGCATTAAGCCTGGTGCTGACTGCCCTGAGCAGTGCTCTGGGGGCCTGAGGAAACCAGATGTGTTTGTGCCCATTTCACTGCTGATGACACTGGTCTTGATTGCATCCATAGAGGGGATTTTGTACCTTTGCACCATCCAGCCACAGCCTCACCAGGTACACCTGAGGCAGTCAGTAATCCCTAAGTAAAAATAACCATTGATAATTAATTAATTAATGGTTATTGTAACTGTCAGTTTAAATATCTACTGACTGCAAATATTTATTATTCTGTATACAAGTATATCCTGGATATCATTTGCCTTTGCTTACACAGAATTTTCCTGTCATCACAGAATCATTAAGGCTGGAAAAGACCTCCAAGACCATTGAGTCCAACCTTTGACTGAACACCACCTTGTCCAATAAATCATTACATAGGGGACTCCCTCCAAAGCCATTGTATGAAATGTCTGTGTTAAATACTCTAAATGGAAAAGGATCATTCCTTCACAAAAGAAATATGGATGCATTGCCTATGTCTAGGAGGACAGCAGGGACATTCATCCTCTACATCCATGTTGGGTGTGTTCATTTATAACTATTTACCAGATGAGCCAATAGGAGACAGATGCTTAATCATGCCACACCCCTTTAATTTATCCTTAATCATTGATTCACATCTACTGCATGTCCCTCAAGTGTTATTTTTTTTCCACAACATTTACCTTAGCGTATATTTCGACATGTCCTGTTCGCTTTATGACTTCACAGAGGATGTGGTTATGGTCTGTCAGAAAGGAAGCTTTGCTGTAGATGGGAAGATAAAGCTCAAAAGCACCTACACTGCCTCTTGAACACTTTTTTTTTTTTTTTTTTTTTTAATTAACTGTCTTCTTTCTCGTGTTTCTTTCTTTGACGGGGTGCACAGCACAGACTGCCCATGTCCTGGGAGATGAACATTCTTGGCTCAGCCATGAATAACTGTGTGCTCCTGGAGGAACTGCTGATCAAGAAATCCCAGCAGAAGAGAAGGACGTCACCCTCCAACTTTAAAGTGCGCTTCTTTGTCCTGACCAAATCCAAGCTGGCTTACTATGAACATCGCCATGGGGTATGTCAGTCATTGCCTCTCTCAGAGCAATGGAGGGAAGGATGAAATTTGTTTAAGGGAGGGAAGGATGCTGGTGGAGTGAAGGATGATCTTTGTCACATGTTGTTAACTTTTCTGGTCCTTGCTACAGCACCGTGCGCTGAAAATTGGTCAAATTTAGATGATTTAGAGCTTCAAATTGGTGATTTAGAATTCTGATCAGTGGGTATTTGGTGTGGATGGAGGAAGAAGACTACTCTGCCAATTTATAGAAAGAATATGGTTTTATTGTAGGAATTTGGCACGGGCTGTGTGTAAGAGCTGTGTGAGCCCATCCCTGGCACCTCACATGGGGACAGGGCTGACCTGGAGAGGCGTATTGTGAAGGTCACAAGTGTACCCTGATTGTGTCTGTGAAAAAGCAATCCACACATCTTCACTGTCATTTTTTTCTTCGGAGCATCATGCTGATGGCTGGCAGGAGATCCAACTAGCATTTTGAAATAAATTCAGCTGCCACATGGAATGTAGAGTCTTTGGAGCTAGCTTCAGATAGGCTGTGATGATGAGATTCAGGCTCAGGCCAGGCTTTGTTTCCCCAAGCTTGCATTTTGCTGATTTGCTAAATATGAAGAAAATTAGAAGTCAATCTGTGCACCCAATTGTGTTTAGTGCTCTACTGAAGTAAGAATTATTTCCTTCTATTTAGCTGGATGTTTGTGGAGCCTCGTTAGGGTTGTAAATAATCTTGCTTGTTTTCCAACAGTCCTTGAATGTGCTGTTAATCCATTATGTTTAGGCACTATTCCTGTAGAGAAGAACTGTGCTGCCTTGGATCCAGCACAGACAACTTCAGAACATCTGATCTTGCTCAGTTACAGAAAATTAAGTAGAAACAGAACCCAACAATAAAAGAAAAGCACGTTGCGCCCTCATATTTTATCACAACCAATTTGGGGTTATAAACCAGCTTTAAAGATTAAGAGGTTTAAAGGTTAACAGTCATTTTCACCTGCATGTCATTTCCCTCAAATATGTCCAAAGAAATGTTTTTCTTGTTTTTAATTTAACGTCCATGTTTTTCTCACCTCCATTTTAAACAGGACATTACCCATTGCTGCATACTGTGACTGTCTATGGTTTGAGACTATCTTTGTCTGTTCCCCAAACTATTTTTCAAATGTCATTTTTGTAAGATTTTAAATTCATTGTAACTATTCCACTTAATTATTCAGGACTAAATTTTGAAATGCATCTAAACGATTTTGCTGTAGGTGTTTAGAGAAATTTCTACTACGATTTTTCTTTGGTGCTTTCTGAGTCTTGGTTGTCTTGACATGAATTAAATGTAATTCTGACTAGATACTTTGGCAGTAGGTATCTTGTCAGCATCTTTAGGGACTGAAATAGTTTGGAAAATCTGACTTGGTAACTTTCAGTGGGGCATAGACTTCACACACTATGTGTTTGTGGAAATTTTCCCTCTCACTCTTCCAAAAGGTCATTTAGGTGAGATGAGGGTTTGGTGTACTATCCATTCTATCTTATGTACTTTAAAATGCATGTATTATATATATGTAGACATGTGTAGGTAAACACACATGCAATTTTAGAGCCTTGTGCACTTTTGAGGTGTGGTGGGTATATTTGTAATCACAGGGCTGATTTTCCATGAAATGCTGATTTTTCTTCTCACATAAACTATCAAAATCAGGTTGTTACATGAAAAGAATTTGTCACGAAGTAGAGAGAAAATAATTTGTCCTGTGAAATACTCCCAGAACTGATCATTAGCCTCTTCAGTAATCAAAATTAGAGCATGCTGGTGAGACCTCTGCATGGACAGGTCACTGCTGTTCTGGAAAGGAAAGCTTAGGGCAGCCCATGCAAGAACCATCTTGTTTTGTGCTCAGGATGGAGGGAACCCACAGCATTTGAGTTGACAGCCACTGGAGGGAGGATTCCAATCATCCCTGCCAGCACATGGGCTGTGCCATTCCCTGGAGTGCACCAGGACCAGGCACCATGGGCAGGTGGTGAAATCAGTGATCTGGAGCTCATGCCTGGTGCAGTCCCTGGCACTGCTTTGCTCTGCTCCACAGGGACTCTCTCAGATAATTCCTGGGGCTGGCAGAGGTCAGAGCAGGCTGTCCCCACTGCCAGGGGCAGTTTGCATATGGCCCTGCTCTGGAGGTTTAGGGACATTGCTGGCAGCTGGCTGCAGTATGAGGAGCATCCTCAGGTTCTATATGGACTGACATATGCATGGGCCCAGCAAGTATCTGGGCTTTTAAAGCATGGCTTTTTCAAGGGAGATCTCTGGGGATCTTTTCACCAAAGGTTTTCAACGAGTTTCTTTAAGAACCCCTTACCAACCTGTCTGGTGGATTCCTGTACTCAGAGTTTTGCACTGTATGGTTCCCATCTCTCCAGTCCCTGGTCAGTCAGTAACAGCAGCCTGTGCATAAAGTCAGGTAAAACAACTACTGAACTACTTAAAAGTTTGAGAAGTCCCACTGATTTCAGTTGCATGACACAAGGTACACACGTATGCATTAAGCCCTGGTTTATATATTTTGCCTGTATTTAACAGGGTTTAAACCCCAGTCCCTTTCTCTACATTTTTAAATCAAAGGTATAAAATGACATTAAAGAATTTTTTATATCAGTCCAAAACAAGGAAAAAGCAGGCCAAAAGCTACAGGAATATTTCTGCAAATGATACCCAAAGCTGTCAAGACAACTGACATCATAAAGGCAGATTTTTTGCAATAACTCTAATGGCATTTTCATTGTAATTTTCGTCTTTCTGCCACAGCTGACAGAGAGCACTGTTCTCCTCAGGGGCCAAGCACACAGTGGCCCTTAATTTTAATGAAAGATATTTACATGTCTCATTAGGAGAATGAGCCCCCAATAACTGACAACAATAAGAAGCTGTGTTTTCTGGAATTCATTATGCAGTGCACAATGCAGGGCTGTCTTAACATAAAGCAAAGCCCTGATAACAGGCACATGTATTCAGCCCCCATCTCTGCTAAAAGACATCACAAGTGCCTTTATTATAACATGCAAATCAATTCCAAAGGCAAAAATTATTTGTTTCGGGGTCTGATTTTGTAGCTACTGTACATGTGAGTAAACAAGCAATGGGAGTCATAATTTTGACTGTTTCAATGAGTTTGATCCTCACTGCAATAATGGATAATTCAGACACTGTGATACTCTCAGAATCCTGGTACACTTGCTGCTCTGCAAAAGCAGTGAATCCCTTTGGGGAGGTGTCTGGGACAGAGTTTCAAATGTCCTTACTTAGATGCAGCAAAAGCACTTGAAGTGGTGAATTATCTATATCCCCTTCACCCAACAGCTTATGGTCCTTGGTAAATCCTTCAGGCACATAAATACTTTGAAATTTTATATCTTCATGCACTTGTGGGCTATTATTAGTTCAACTGATAAAGGCAGCAATGAAAGGCTAACCCAGAAAAGGCCAAGTTCTTTTTTTCATTTACATCTGCACAATTCTTCCTACACTGGTCAGATGCTCAGGAGGTCACACAGAATGAGTCAGCCTTGTCCTGGGCTCTTTCATTCAGATCTTTGATACTCACATATAAAGATGGCAAAGATGGCACTTCAGTGGGCCTTGAAATCTGCTTTCAGTCTCTTGTTACATGAGAACAAATGAATAAGCTTGGCTGAAAGGACTTTTCTCAGCATCCCAAAAATGCTCCAGCTGCTCTCTAGCATTATCTACACACTGGGTTGTTTGCAGCAGTCGAGCTCCCCATGGGACAAAAAGCAGTGCTTTCTCCTCAGTCCAGTCCCTTTTACCTTGATTATTGTACACAGAATCCAACTTGGTTTTTTCCCCAAGATTCTAATGTAAACAGACTAAAACTTTTCTTCTGAAGATCTCTGTTCTTCTTGTTAGAGTGGCCATTCATACCATTTCTCATTGCTTTGTGTATTCTGAATACCTTAGCAGTCATGAAGCTGCAGTCCTCACATAAAGGGAATTTAATTATGGATTTAAAGACTACCTTCCAAATAAATACATCTTTCTAGATATGTCCTTCTTCATAACCTGCCATGTATTTATTAACTAGTACTCTTTGCTTGCCAGAATTTGCAATACCACTTGTTTTCTGATGCATATCTCCAACTAATTTATTAATACACATACCACCCACAAAGAAGTCAGGCTTGGCATCTGCTTGCATCACCCCTTTCAATCAATTTTTGTGTAATAAAATCAAGACAACCCTAAATAAGATGGAGACAAAGTACAAATCTGTGCCTTAATGTCTAGTAAATCTAGAAATGTAACAGGAATTTTGAACAATCCAAATTATGTTATTGGAGTTGCTGAAGTTGATACTGTTTTTCACAATGAGTCTTGTTTCTATTGTGAAGACACAGAATCCTGGTAATGCTGGTTGGAGAGCATTTCTTAAATTCATTTAGTTGGATTTTTGCCAGGATAAGATCAACACTCAGAGCAGGACTGTCACCAACACCAGGACAGGTTGGCTGTGACATTGACTGGCCACTGCTTCAAAGCCAAGGACAGAGATTCCACATTTTTCACCAACCTACTCCAGTCCATCTTACCCAATATTTTTCTGGGTATTTGCAAAGTTCCTGTCTATTGCTGTTCTCATTCAGGACTCCTGCAGCAGCTTCCTGATTCAGAGTGGTGATATTGTCTAGACAGGATTGCCTTGAGCAAAATGCAGGTTCTGTGTGTCTGGTGGCCTTTCTAACTACACAAACATGTGGTAAAGTCTGGTAATAAAAATAGCTCTTTTTTTTTTGTGCTGGAATAACTAATTTTATCTTCCAGAATATGATTATAATAATTTTCTACTTACCCTTTCCGTGCCTGCCCAGTTCTGTGCCTACAAGGTCCTTTTCTGTGCATTTATTAGTCTTTAGGTTTTGAAGAAAATTTTAAAAATTCCTTCTGAGCAATGTTTTTGCAGCAAATGTCAGATACTTCCATTTTGTTTCAATTA